TCGACCGTAACATTTGCTTGTTAATTAGACCAAAAGCGCTTCTAATCGATTGAGTGGAACCATTGTCGGGGATGTTGTCTGAACGTCGGGCAGACATGTAGCAGTGAAGTGCGATTCTCGGATAGTGTGAGGTTTTCCATTCACTTCATTAATGGACCAAACCCCTGGATTGAGTGGCTTTTATCGAAATAAATCGAACGCCAAGAAGCCATTTATCGATTAAGGAAGAACGTTTATTCTCTGTATAAATGGACTTAGGCTATGGATTGTGTTGGATCGATTAACAATAGAAATAGATAATTGCCCAAACGGTTTTATTCCCAATCTCGGAAAATGCATTCTTAAACTTTAAATCTGGAATCAAATATGCTGCCTCGGGCTCGAGTGGCCTCAGTGCAGTGCCTGGCAGGACGCGTGGCCGGCATCGCAGGGACATTAATATAGTGCATACTCGTAGATGCACTTACTTTGCCACTTCATCAGGCACGAGGAGCTCCGCCGAAGAACTCCACTCTGAATATAAAAAGAACCATTGGCCATGCTCTCTCAAGTATTGCCAGCACGTACCCATTGATGGCGTTTGAGAGGTGCCTCGCACGAGTCGTATGTGGCGCTATGCACGATAATTCACATGACCATAAAGGCATTTCAGGCAACGCTTCTGCCGCCCCGCTGCCCCCGGTGCCCCCGCTGCCCCCGCTGCCCGCTGAAAAGGTTCGTTAATCCATTAAATTTGATATATGCTCGTGTGGGTGGCCCTGGGCTCCCCGGGATCCCCTGGAAGTCCTGCTTGCATTTAGACAAATGCCATTCGGTGGGGTAATGCCTCGATGCCGATGTGTCAAGTTCCTAGAGAGATGCTGCTGCTGCTGCTGCTTCTGCTGCCAACACAAATCAAAATGGAAAGAACTCGGTTTCACTTTTGCCATTTCTCTGCACTCTGCCACACTCTGCCACACACTGCCACAGTGCACGTGCCCCCACAACATTATGCAATTGTTTTTGCCCCACACACACACGCACACATAGCCACAGCCACAGCCCGTGCCACACGCTGAAAGGAGCACAGCGGGGGGTGGGGGGCGCGTCATTTTGATGTCTCTCACAGTGGGACGCCTTCATTTGGATGCCGTCGGGATTATGGCCGAAATAAACTGAAACTGAAATTGAAATGCAATAAAATACAACTAGATATTGCAAAAGCGACTCTTAAATGCCCCTGGTCTTGCCACAAAAACGAGTCATCCGGCACCCCAGCTGCAGCTGTAGTTTATAGCGTGTTTCGACTGTTAATATCGAATGGGCACAGTGGTCCTAAGCCAAAGAAAACCCCATTTAAGAAAGCAGAAAGTGCTAGTAGGAATTTCCATATGGAATATCGTTTCAGATCCATCGTTTGCCCATCTCCTGCGTCTCTTTCTTTCTCTCTCTCTTTCGTTTCTCTGGTGATCGTCGCACTCTCAGCGGGAAAAGAGATAGCACTAAGAGCACACATAGCAGACATGCACTACGTGCATTAAATAATATATTTTCTTTAATGTTTAATGCTTAATCTTCAAGTGGCTTGTACTATGGCTATGCATAAGAAAGGCTGCTGCTGAAATGTTAATCGGAATATTTTAGAGGAGAGCAGAGCAGAGCAGAGCAGAGCAGAGCAGAGGAGAGGAGCCATGCCATACAGCGATACGTGACAAATGCGAGTGTCTCTGGATCGGATCTGCCATTACGTAATGCTCACATATCTGTGTGTCCCACAGTGCCTGCCCCACAGCCCGCAGCCCACTGTGCGTGGGTGGGTGGGGGGACACGTCCGTTCAAGGACGCATTGCGATGGCACCGCTCGAAAATGGCATCCGGGTGGGTGCTCGAGTGCAGCTCCATGGCGCCGGGCGCCGGGCACTGGGCGCCGACGCTGCTCCCTTGTGGCCCTGGCCATGGCCAGAATGTACCATTTCCACTCTATCCGCTATCTGCTATTCGCTGGCCGCCAGCCGCCATCCCCATCCGTGGTGGGATTCGTTTCTGTCAGCACTTGGCACCCACTTGTGTGGTATTTTGCTTTACACTTACACTCTCCCGCTCTCTCTCTCTGCACCCCCCATTCCGCCCCCTATTTCCCTCTTCCTCTTCCTGTCTATTTGTCTCTCTTCCTCTCCCTCTTTGCCTCCCTCCCTCTTTGCCTGTCTGTCTGGGATGCCTTTTGTTTCCTTTTCTGTTTTCGGTTTATTTGTGGGAAAGGAGGCGGCTACAGGGCGACAGGACGACAGGAATTGTCATGTAAATGGGTTAAATTCTGACATTAAATTGTTCGTCCCAGAGATTTTTCATTTGTAAACTCTGCCATGCCGCTTTGATGCTCGGAAAACATGATTTCCCATTTTCAGCCGACTGGCCACAACACCCCACAGCCCCACAGTCCCGCAGCCCCGCAGTCCCGCAGCCCCCCATTCTCTTTTTCATTAAAACTGAAACCCAAACCAAAACCAAGAACAGCCCTGGCTGTGAATCGGTGCCTGGGGGCATAAAGGGATTTGCAGCATTTTGTTGATAATTGCATTTCGAGATTTGCGAGAGACAGAGAGCGAGAGAGAGAGAGAGAGAGAGAGAGAGGGAGAGAGACGTCCTGGCAAATCACTGACGGACCACAGAAATGGTATTCAAATAAAATGGATTATAGAATTTTAGAGAATCTTCTGCTCGGTTGATAATCTTAAATAAATTAAAACACAAGAGAGAGCCCTCTCTGGTGGGTGGAGAGACGTAATATTACTAATCAATGCTCTGAAACTACATTACTGCTACTGGACTTTTACATAAAAACGATAAGGGAGTATCTAATCAACAAATGATAATTGAAACTGATAAAATTCTGTTCGCTAGAAAGTGCAACATCGACCCTACAGACAGCTGCAATGCTTCCAAGAATGGCATTTGTTTGTTCATGGGAAAAGCAGAGCCTCAAAGGAGTTCTGCGGTAGTACAAGTGGATTAGTAGGTGGGCACGTCCTTGCTCCCGATTGCCAGCCAGCCAGCCAGCCAGCCAGCCAGCCAGCCAGCTCGAGAATCCACTCTGCAGCCTACTGAAAAGTTAATTGAAAGATCTGTATGCACATTTATATACTACCCTTCAAATCAATAACTATTACTTAAACAAAGGGGAAAACAGGGGAGGGAGAGGAGGGCAAGGAGTGACTGTGGGTGCAAGTTTAATTGCATGCAGATTGGGGGGGGCAGATTGAGGGACGAAAACAAGGTGAAACAAAACGGCGCCCAACTTTTGTGCGGGGGGAATCATGCAGAGCGCAGCACATTTCAAATTGGCCATTGAACTTTCATATCAAAACACACAAACAAAACAGGCAGCAACAGCGAACGGCCAACAGAACCGGGGCGAAAATGGCTTTTAAAATGCTAAAAACACGCGAGAACCGCGCCCCATCATAATTGGAAATGTCTGTAAGAATCGTAAGAACCCTCTCCCCGAACCCGCCCCCCGCCTCCCGCCCCCCGCCACATAATGGCTCGTACGAGTACATCCGCTGCGCCCCAGTCCCAGTCCCACCTGCGGCGCACCTGCCCCCGGGCGGTTGTTAACAACTTTGTGGAAATTACAATGGGGAAAGGAAAGTGGAAAGTGTAATCAAAGTGGTTAGGAGGTCGTTGCTTTAAGGGCGAGCGATTAGCGTGCAACGTGTAGGCCCCGGGCCTACATGCAATCCCATGAGAAATTCAATTTCCCGAATCGATTTACATATTATTTGCGTGGGTCCAGCCATTCTTTCATCTTTATTAGATGATCAGAATGAGATCTAGCACCTGTTGGGATCACAAAGAGCTTATCCAAATGGTGGATATATAGCTTGGGCCTATAAATAGATCGAAATTGGAAAAAGTTTTAAATTTTTGTTGCACCTTGCACTCGTTATCCAACCATTTTATGGCTCGAATGGGAAACGGTTTATCGTGTGTGCAGAATTGGCTTATAAGACATCAATAATTGTCTGATAAAAGACATACATACATATATACATAGATAATAGATAACCGAGCTATTAACAGTTGATTGCTGAGCTAAAGAGAGTCATATAAATGTACGCATTCAAGTGGAAAGAATACCGAGCTACATACCTTCTCTGCCAATCCTTCAATACATAACTTAAAGAACTAAATATAAGGAGGACAAATAAATGGCACCTCTCGTTAATCCAACTATCAGGCAATGGCGATCCAAAATAGACTTAGTTTCCACATCGTTTTCGGAATATTAGATTGGGTTAGGCCCTCCAACGGGGCCACGCATAGGCCAGTATGGCCCTTAGCTAAGGGAATATTAGAACCCTTTTATTTTCAAAATTATGGATGCCACAACAGCCACAGCAGAGCTCAAAGATCCCATCAATGTGGGAAATAGTATACCATACTACTCTCTCCCCCCCCCTCTCTCTCTCTCTCTTTTGTGCAGGTTTGTTCTTATCAAGGTCTCTTTCTGTAATGGCCTTCGAAGGCATAATTAATTGCAGTTCCCAAAAAAGAACATATTACTGCAAAGAAAAGCTGGTTTATATATGTACATATATACATACATACATATACATACATATGTATGTATTTCGTTGAGTGCTGTACATTTCGCTTTCGCAGAATGGATTTTAAATATTTAAATATTTAATTTAATTAATGGCAAAAATGACTTCCCTCTCAAGAGTGAAAGAAAAATGAAATATTGACCACACACTCGCACATAATTTCGTTTGCTTTTTGTCTTCTGTTTTATCTGAAGAACGGCCATGGAAACACTACCATCTGTTTGTAGAGATATACCATTATAGCATCCCAAAAACAGTATATAAAGATGGTATAGATATATGAAATCCATATGGAAATATTGTTTGGGCGTGGAGTAAAATAGAAGTGAAGTAAATCGAGTGAAATCTGATAATAAATCGAATACCATCGGCGTCTAAAGTGGAATAATCTTTTTTTCTTGGTTTTAATTGCAGTTTCCTAATGCCACTAATCGCACCCGTGAAATGTAAGTACAAGGCTTTAAAAAGTAAATAAAATACCATTTGGCATTAAAAACTTTCAGACTTCGTTGCGTAGACGTCGGGGCCCTATCGACGTCCGTCCCGTCCCGTCCCGTCCACGCCCCCCGCTTCGCCTCCACTGCGTAAAACAATCAGAAATCGAGTGAAATAAAAAACCCGAAAAAGAAAAACCGCACACAAAGCAAATAAAGAGGAGAGAGAGCCAGAACCAGTGCCAGAGCCAGAGCCAGAGCACACAGTAGAATATACAGAGAAATCAGCGGAAAATAACATTCGAAAGCAACGGCAAAAACGAAACGAATGAAATCAAAACACCAAAGAAGAGTAAAGCGACGACCCACACGGAAGAAAGCAGCAGAACGACAACAACAACCACAGCAGCAGCAGCAGCAGCAACCAGAGAGAAGCCCATAGAAGGGAGCAGGGTCCACCCACTATATGCCCTAGTATTGTCCGTAAACGACGAGTACTTTATTGTGGAATGAAGGGCGGCGGTGCCTACATCAGCATTGGCTCAAGCACCAGCAGCATCAACAGCATGGGGAGCGGCAGCGGCAGCGGCAGCAAGATGACGCTGGGAAAATCTGTTAAAATGTACCTGACCATATTCATAGCCACGACCTGCATCTACATGGTGCTGTATCAGTATCACATGTCCCGGGAACCCTTCGCGCCCAGCGAAGTCGGAAAGGTAAGCCAAACTACCAAATAGAGCCTTTAGTCAAGGCCCAGATTGAAGGGCTCTCTGGGAGGACATTTACTGGGAGTTTCCAAAGCGATCCATCCATAAAAGACATTGATTTTATCCATCTGAAGCTCTTAGAAGTGGGTATTCGCCTTACAAGGCAGCTCCAAGCAGTGGATGGATCTGCAAAGCAGTTGTTTTTTTGCCGAGAGAGCAGTACCACTCTCATATCTCTCTCTCGCCCACTGCCGTTTCCATAAGAAAACTGTAGAAATTTCCAGTAAGTGTCATACGGGCTCAAGGAACCGTTGATTGCAGTTGTCGCCGCCGGCCCTCGCTCGTTCTTCGTTTTGTCTTGTTTCCATTTCGTTATCTGTTATACATTGTTATTCTGCATATGTATGTATGTCTGTTTGTGTCTGTCCATATGTATGTATGTGTGTAATTAGATACCGTTTGTTAATTAGCTAGAGCGAGTTCTAAGCACACTTCTCTCCCACTCGCACACTGTGTTGTACAACAGTCGTCACCACCCATCGCCCACCGCCCACTGCTACGAGATGTGGGACATCATTAATATAACAGTTATTAGATAAACCAACGTATCGGACAGGCAGGAGGAGGCAAGATTGATAGCCAATGCCAGGAGCTGGTCGAAGATAAACATGTTATCTTTGATGAATGGATGTTTGAAAGGGCTCCAAAGGGATTACACAAATCGTTTACGCCAGCGATAGGGAGCGCAGCGCAGTCCAGGGGCGTGGTATTGGAAGGGGGACATAGATGATAGTGTGACAGGTGTGCCCATCAAAGCCGTACAGTAATAGATCAACTACGTGCCTTTGCTGTTGTTCCGTCTATCTCCATTTTAATGGGTGAAAGTTAGAGAACTTGGATTTTCGAACACATACATATGTATGTTAATGTTTGTAGTTATATCTTGTGATTGTTGTTACCGATTGGGGGTTTCTGTTCAGTTGGGCTAGGTTAGTTTCAGTCTCTTGTGATTAGCTAGTTGCTATCAATCCTATGTATGTGCTCGTATGTATGTTTGTTCTCTAATCAACTATCTATATCTGTCTGTAATTGTTTCCTTTATGTTCTATTTCTTGTTCTATTTCCACTTGATCTCCCATCCGTAATCTAATCGCTAACAAACCGTAACTTTAGCATCAAGAGAAATCATCATCATCGTCATATATCGCCTCATATTTGTGGTCACCCATGTCCCTGCTAATGGCCAATGCAACAACAACAACAACAACAACCACAACAACAACGACAGTGTCTTCAACAACAACAACAGCAACAGTAAGCAATGCAGGACAGGTGGGACAGGGATCATCCTCTGGGTCCATCCGAACGGTTTCATTAGCTGCCACCCGACCCACACAAGCATCGTCATCGGCATCGATATCGGCATCAGCGGGTGGCGCCGCCGCCCATAAGACTGCAGCAGCAACAACAACAACCACATCAACCACTCCCCCAGCAACAGTTACAACAACAACCACAACAAGAGCCAATCCGATCGCCAAAAAAGGTCCAGCATCCACATCCATGTCCCAGTCCCAGCTGGACGCTGCCCATAAAATTCGACCAACATTCGTTGCCGCTTCAGAGCCCGTAAATATATTGACGTAATCGTAATCGTAGCCGTAGCCGTAGCCGTAGCTTTAGTTTTTCTGTTTGTACCCCCCGTAGCACTGCACGGAATGTGGATGTCACAACCAAAGCACGAAGTCTTCCTTTTTCCTTCCACTTTTAATGCTTTTCCGTTGAGCGAAAGATCGAAATCCTAGCCAAATCTGATTGATGCTTTGGTGTGGCATACTTTCCATATAGAATAAGTATTTTAACGATCTATCCACAGTGTTTTTGCCCCCCAACAGCATCCACTTTGTATATTTTTTGTTCGTTTTTCTTTAATTTGGAGAAGTGCATCCACTCTGTGTACATACTCGAATAACTTTCGCTTCTCTCCGTGCAAACACGAGTACTCGTATGTTTGATTGCTAATTATGATTGAGCTGGTGGCTTGTGTGGTGGGTTTTTTTGTTTTTATGTTCTTTTCGTACTCTGAACTAACTTTAACAATTTCCTTGATTGGTTTTTGTGGCTTGCATCGCTGGTCGTCACAAGTGCGTGGCACGAGGATGTCATTACACTGTATACATATGCACCTAAATTGAACAACAAATTAGAGCGGGCTGTTGAGTTGGCCATAAACCAAAGCTGAATGGCAAACAAGCTTCAATTTTGGTTCGAATGGAAATACCTTACGGGAAATTATTAAAGCCTCAATCGGAAACAAGGCGTTTGCGGCACTTGAAAGTCGGTTAGGCAAGCCGACAGTATAATTTGCACAAACACAAATTAGTTGACTAATGCATTCCATATTTGCCAGACACCAAGCGGAGCCACTCGTTGCATGTTAATTATAGTGCCATTAGGACCATAAATAGGCATAGATATAGATTGCCATCACAGCAATTGCTGTATTGCTGTATTGCTGTATCTCTGTACTGCTGATGTTTGTCTAACCAACTTTTGTTGGCCACACGATGTGCAAATTGGTTGGCAGCTATCAGTATCACGATTTCTGGGTTAATCACATGCATTATACTGGAATTAACCAGCAACCAGCCACCGCGAACCAACTATTCCCCCGCTCCCTTTTCTGTTCCACATCCTTTTCAAAACGATGTGCAAACAAAAAGACTTCCATTCAGCATTTTGCATGAGTCTAATTTGAAAATTGCTCAAAATGCAGATACAAATACAGATAGAGATAGAGATACAGAGGGAGAGGGAGAGAAACCGAAACCGCCGACAGTAACAGCAACAGCAACAAATGGTATATATATATATACATATATATATATATATACTATGTTTATAGAACATTTGACTAGCATTGAAAGGCTCTGGTGGGTGGGTGGCTGGTGATCTAGTTTCTAGATTCATGCAAAATGCAAGCCAATTGAAAAGATTCACGCGCATTTGTTGGTTTCTGTCATTTAGTAGTAGTTGGATCCACTAACAGCAATGCAGCTGCCACTGCCCCTACGTGTGCCCTACACTCAATGTCAGAGGTTGGGCCCATCAGCTGGGAAGGAAAGTTGTGGTCACCCTTTCACTGCTAAGCCACATTGCGAGAGAGGGCAGAGGAAGTTGTGGTCTTCATTCAGTAGCTTAATAGTTTTCAGTCCAGTATAGTGCTAATCAATGCAGTGCAGTGTTGTGCAACGCAGCTCAGTGCTGAGCAGCGGGTGGCATCTTATCTACCTCGTGCAACCGGAGGAGATCTTGCTGTTCAGCTCAGCCCATAATCCATCCAACTTAGTGGCTTTTTTTTGCATGCTGCCATGGACACATGACCCCTCCAGCTCCGCCTCCACCTCCCATCCCAACCCGTTCCAATCTATCTCTTTTCTTTATTTAAATATCTGGGTTTATTTTGCAAAGTAAATTTGAATTTGAATGCTGCTTCCACCCGCATTTTCCTCTGCGACCGCCACTGCGACTGCCATTGCGAGTGCGCGTATGAGTGTCAGGGAATGGACAATTTGCAAAGTAGTGCGGCGGCTTATTTATTTTCAACGTCATTCGTTCAATGGGCCATTCGGTTACATGCAAACAATACAGCACAATACCATCTGGAAATGGAAATGAAAATTGAAATGGAAGTAGAAATAGAAATGGAAATGAAAATGAAAATGGGTGTACTATTATGCCAGTATGTCGGTTACTGGTGCTGTGGGGCTTGAGAATGCGGTCTAGACACGCAGCCCCCTCTGCGAATGGGGGCGGATGTGGTCCAAGCCGATCCGTTCGCCTGTAAATTAATTTGCATAATTGCTCATAAAAAGAAACTCACGCCGCGTTACGCATCACCACACCCCACCTAACGAACCACTTTGCCACCCACCAACCAGCACAAGTGCAATGCACACACACACACGCACACACACTGCCACCACCTTTACCACTTGAGAGTACGGCCGTAGATAATCCTATCCTTAAACACTTGACCCCGCAGCCGCCCCTGTACATAATCACGCCCACCTACCGGAGGCCCGAGCAGCTGGCGGAACTGACGCGCCTCGGATACACGCTGAAGCACGTGGCCAATCTGCTGTGGCTGGTCATCGAGGATGCGAACAAGACGAACCCGCTGGTGGCGCACACCCTGGACCGCATCGGGGTGCCGTACGAGTACATGGTGGGTGAGTATTGTCGTCCGGTGTCATGTCCACACCCCATTCGAGTGATATTTACGAGTTCCCGATGCCCATCCCATTCCACTCGCAGCACCCATGCCCGAGAAGTACAAGCAGACGAAAAAGGCCAAGCCGCGCGGCGTCTCCAACAGGAATCGGGGCCTCGAGTATCTGCGACAACATGCCACCGAGGGCGTGCTCTACTTTGCCGACGATGATAATACCTATGACATTAGCATATTCGAGCAGGTATGCTATCGACATTAAGGGGCCGTACTCCATTAAGTACTGACGACTGGGCTTGTCCTCCTTCTCCTTCTTCTCCTCCTCCGCCTCCTCCACAGATGCGGTACATCAGCAAGGTGGGCATGTGGCCCGTGGGGCTCGTGACCAAAACGGGCGTCAGCAGCCCCATTATACGGAACGGGAAGCTAGACGGCTACTACGATGGCTGGATAGGGGGACGGAAATACCCCGTGGACATGGCCGGATTCGCGGTGAACATCAAGTTCCTGAGGCAGCGACCCCACGCGCAGATGCCCTTCAAGCCGGGCTATGAAGAGGATGGCTTCCTGCGGAGTCTCGCGCCGTTGGATAACGACGAAATAGATCTGCTGGCCGACGAGTGCCGAGATGTGAGTGTCCCCTGCCTGCCTGCACTCTGAATTAATGATCGAACTAATCATGCTTCCTATGTGCTCACAGATCCTCACCTGGCACACGCAGACCAAGAAGAATCCCCCCGCACAGGCGTTGAACAAGACGCGCTACAGCAACACCAATCTGGTGCACATAGACAAGCTGCTGGTGCGTCCGTAAGGACGTCAGACTGTAGTTAGATATAGATAGATATAGATAAACCCGCGCAGGGGGTCCGTTTAGGAAAGCGAGTGAGCTCACAAAGTGTCCATGGACTTGACCAGTTGTACAGGTACAACCTTGTGTTAAAGTCCCGATTCCACGCTTTTATGTGGACTGTGAACCAATCAGAATTGATCAGATCAGTAGATCCAGTAGGTGTACATTATTACCATAATCATACGATACGTTAGCTAGCTCTAAGCGCGCACTCTCCTACGATACAGCCAGGCTTTGTTTGACCCCAGACACCAGACACTAGACACTAGACACGGCTCCTACTACATGCATACGAGTACGTATATTTGTAATCACACCTTAAGTACTCTACTCTACTCTAAATCATATCGTATCGTCCTCGACTACTACTACTAATACTTTTTGTAAATATTCGCCAATCTTGATTTAAGTTTAAGCAATACTTTTGTTTTGGTTTAAGTGGAAATTTATCAGATTTCTCGGCCACAACGAATTGGATCGGATGTTCCTAAAGCTACAAGAAGATACCCCACAAATTGTGCATTCAATTCCATCAACCTTTTCACTCATACCCAAGAGACAACCAATGCGCGAGGTCAAGGCCTCCTCCCCAACCACAACAACTATTGGTAAATAGTAAATGGTAAATGTTAAATGGGGACAAGGTGTCAACTAGAAACTTATTTCCCGGAATGCTCCTAAGGAACACTACCCAAAAAGCAGCTCAAATGTGGGCCGCAGCCATTTCAATAATTCATGTTGACACAGTATGTTCTGCAGGCAGACACGAGCCGGGTGGCACAGATACTACCACTGCGACTATCCTACCCGTAACTCAAGGCACGGACTGGCCCCAAAGCATACCGAGCTCTGGGTGAACCTCCGAATCGCGTGCAGAGCTGCATGCCAGTCGATGCGGCGGCGGGAAGTACAGCAAACAGTTTACTATATGCTAATGGGATTCAATGACTCAAAAGTTTTGGCAAAGCAAAGCAAAGCAAAAGCAATTCCAATTCCTGTAGAAATTATGCACACTTTGTTTGTTGAATTTTGTCCTTTCAACACACAAACACTCTATCTCTATACCTATCTCTCTCTCTGTAGGCCTAAGGATCTGTTGTACGAGTAGTTTCGAATTCTAGGTTTCCAAATGCAACACTTTCGCACTATCCCTAAGCATCTAAGTATTTGATAATGATAAGTTAAGTTTACAAAGATAAAGATAAATACATTTGTATTGTACTATATTCAAGTTATGAACTGCACTGAAATACGCCTACGTGTAAATAATATATTCACCAAAAAGTTGTAACCAAATTTTTACAAGTCCCGATATTGTACGGGAGCTATGGAGCTAAGGAAACTATGACAAATGGTATTATAAAATTTATACAATTTATACAACGGAATACGGAATACGATAAGCAGCAAAGCAATTAGTTAGGTACTTACAAAAAATCTTACAACAAAATACTAATATACTATTTAAACTACGAGTACGAGTACGAGTACGACTACGAGTACGAGTATATATTGATTGATATATAATGTAAAACCAAACCTCTTCAAGATATCTCAGAATCTTCCCCAGAATACTAAACGATACAGAAATAGTACACGAGTACGTCTAAAGCTATTCTCTTATTCAAGTAAATTACAACATAAAATGTTTAAACCTGACAGAACTTCAATCATTTTTTAAGCAAAATAACTTTCAATAAATTTATCAATTTTCTAAACCATTTTCAAAGTACATACATACATGATTCCCCCATCTCTTGTTTTTATTTATACAATACATATTTCTACACACAATGAGAACAAACTGATGGAATGGATCGAGAATCTATACATGGAATTTATTTCGAAACAAAGATATATATGTCGTATTCTTATAAACCGGAAAGTGCAACTGGAGTAATCGAAGCGTGTTGGCGATCTACTATATATAAGAGTTATCTATCGACTAGTGGCTCCAGGCGGCAGCATCAATCAACTGGTTTAGAGTTCCTGCAGTCGCTCTTCGCGTAAAGAGAGGCCTCGTCCCAGCATTTCCCATTTGCTGAAAGTTTTCTCAACTGTTCAGACATATGCCATGGCTGGTTCGCATTCGATCAGATACTTGCAATATTTTACGTGTATTTACCATCGCTGTTTGGGCACTTCGAAACTGGTTCGAATCTCTGCTCTCAGATATACTTTTTTTTGTATCTTTTAAAGTACCAATTCTGAATTTTCGTCGGATGCACAGCAACAGTAGGATTCTACTAGGAAGAGTGCGGGATAATCGTAAGAGTACTACATATAAGAGAGGACAGTGCATCATCTAAAAGCTTACATTAAATGGCACTAATCTGGTCACTATTTTTATGTAATATAGTAGATCCTACCCTTCTTTTCGGGTTCGTTCCTTTAACAATTTGCAAATAGTAAAATATTGAATCGGAAACTTCTTAATATGTACTTTGTAACTTTTTTTAAACACATCTAGGTTCTACGTAGAGTAGAGTAGAGTAGAGTTTGAGATAAGAAAACTATTATCTATTGTGACTACTTGGAACTTAAGAAACAAACCTTATGTGCATTGGTCATTCGCCAAGAAAGTCGATTTATATCATAGATCAAGAGACAACATACCAAGCTTACATGCGGACAACAAGACTTGCAGGGATCTTATTCAAACGGGAGAGCTTCGAATCAATCGAAAAGAAAGCGGTTGCAAAATTCACATTTAAGATAAGATCACTTGCGGGGTTTGAAAGGAGTCGGGCTGATCCTACAGCTTCTCGGGTATCGGGTGTGACCGATTCCTAGTTCCGATCGACTCGATCCGGAGTGCACTCTACTGTGTGGTACTAAAAAGATAACTCAACATCGATGGCTGCACGTGAAAGCTTATAGTTGCCTCTTCCCACTTGGTACGAATCAAACGCTGCAACGGCGTGTTGAGCGTTGACTCCTCCTTGGCGACCACATCGCTACTACCGCTAGCGCCACTAGCAGCACCACCAACACCGCCGCCGCTAGCGGCACCCACACCGCCACCGGCAGGAGCACCTCCACCCGGAGTCGGAGCAGCAGCAGCGCTGGCTTCTCCATCCTTTCCGGCTGGCTTTCCCGCCATCGAGGTACCCTCCGGTGTGATTGGTTGCCGCTCCAACATGACCAATGCCTGCTCATTGTACGTGCGATTGTCGATGGTCATCTGTATCTGATGCCCCGAACAGCTGTAGTAGTTCACATCGAAGCGCGACTCCGCGTGGTAGTTGCGCAGCAGGTCCGGATTGCGGTTGAACACCACGCCGTAGTGGCCTGTGCAGCTCGTTACCCAGATGGGATAGTTGGGCGTCTTGAGCCGTGAGCCCGGCTGTCGGGATTGATTAACCGCTGCCTGTATTCACAGTAAGAAAGTGTCAAATATAGATATAACGCGGATCGCCACATTTTTGGAGAACAAAAATAAGAGCATTACGTCCGTACTTACGCTAGAGGACTCGATGTCCCACAGCAGCAGACCGATCATACATCGTTTGAGCACTCCGTACTGCGGAACCGCCTGAAAACAAACACGAAACTCAATACCTTTGATGGGGCCTATCTGGATCTATATCTTCTTCTTCGGGTTACGTTACACACATAGCTACTTTCATCGCCCACATTGACGACGCCGTTGTGTATGTAGGGCGTGGCACGTCCCGTCAGCAACAAGGTGACAATCATCAGGGAGCCCTCCTCGTGGTTGCTCATTGTGAGGGGCGAGGATTTCGAGGAGTCCAGGTCCGTGCGCACTCTGCAACGATTGGAAAAGTATTCACCGCCGAATAGCAAATGATTAGGGTCTACAGAATGCATCTGATACAGAGGATATATGGATATATGACGTGTATATGCGGACACTGGATCAAGCTGAAATCTTACTTTCCCATGGATCGCGTGAGGACGGCGCTATAAAGAAACAGCAGAGTGCCAGGGGTCTCTTCCTCTGAAAACTTTGAAGCGGGTTAGAGGGATACTTTTCGATCAGAGAAACGTATAATTCAATTGTGAAAATTCTGGGTCTTACGTATTTGAAATTCCGCTTCATAAAATGCTCTAGCTCCTCGTTGGGCGACAGGGTAAAGACATAGAGCTGCAACGAATTGGGAATGCGTTTTTCTACCTGTGTTCTTTTCAAGGAAATCTCTTTCCTATCGAAGGGCTTCCATCATGTAATAGGGGGACGGGACGGGGGAACTCACCTTCTCGGTTACCGAGTCGTGGAAGTAGCTGGCACTGTGATCCACAAAGACCTCGTCCTCTGACGGCAGTACCATTGTCACCTTTCCCTTGTCCGAAATGGTTCGGAGTATCTCCACCAGGGCACAGAAGAGGGCCTCCCGCTGCATCTCGGCGTTGGCCAGGAGCGGGCTGGAAGAACACACATGCGAATGCGAATGGGGATGAGCTGAGCTCTCTGGATTCCAGAGGGGGATTCGAACACCCACTCGGTGAGGGCAGCCACACGGCTGGTCTTGCGGGCGAAGAGCAAATACTTGAGAACGAATCCTTGGACGACGGACAGCAGGCCACGGGTGGCGTTTCGGGGCGATCGAAGGCCGTATGCAAGCTCCTCCTTGGGCGCTCCAAAGACAAAGGACGTCTGCAGCCACTCGGCACGCATGGGGATGGCGGCAGTGCCAAAGATCAGATTGCGCAGATCCTAAATGGGACAGGACAGACATCATCACCGTATCGCCGACGAAAGAGGCGTTGCCTACCGTTGCCAATTCGGATGTTATGGGCAAACCACCCTGGGTGATGAACTCCTTGTTCATTTCTAATTGGATGCCGTGTTCCGCTGGATGATTTCTGTTTCCGCTAGAGACCTTTGCTCCACTCTGCGACTCGTTGGCGAATGATTTCTCGCGAGGCACAGTTCTGTGCCCTGTCTGGACTTGGCTCCGCATCGGGTTGAGCCTGAGAGAACGTTGGCACTGGGAATGGGCATGGCAGACAGCTGCTTTTAAGCTATTTCACACTTCAGAATGGATTTTTAATTTCATATTTAGTCGTGGGCGCACGAGGCGTATGCGCAACGAAACAAAAGCCAGCAGTCAGCCAGGACTCACGGCAATGCCAGTGGCCACCTGACAGTGGGCACCACACATACTGAATTTGCCCAGACGCCTGGCGCCAGGCTTGGGGATGGCATACGAAACTTCTGCATGGTGTTGCCCGATTTTGGCCCACTGTGCTGGGCCTAGGATTAGCTTTGGAGGGTCGTTCGCTTGTCTGTCAGTCAACGAAAGTAACTTTAAATGAAATTGAATTGAATTTAGTTCTGTGTGCGGCACACGAAACCCGATGCAATAGTATGTGGCACAAGAAGTGAAAGTGTTACGGAGAAGCTCAGAGACTGCTACTGGGACTGGGAATGGGCTTGGCCCTGCCCATACTCGTATGTGCAATATATTTTGCAGGAATTTGGCATGTTGAAGCTTGTCAGAGCGCTCCACACAACCGGAAATATGTAGTTGACGCCCATTTTGAGGCAGGAACACGTGTGCCCGTGTTAACACCGGGGGGACTCCCATGAAAAGCACCGAAAACATTTCACTGGCCACCGCATTATTCTCGGCTGAGAAATTTTTAATTTAGACAGCACTTTAGACTTCTTTTATGGCGATACGATTGATTTGTTGAATTTCTGGGAGGGCCTAAATGGAAGTGAAAGTGGCCAAATAACTGGGGGGCTGCTCGGTTATAGCCTTGGGCATGTCGCCTGCGATTCATTAAAGTGCAGACCCTGACATGCACACCTGAACAGAACGACAGTAAATCCCACTGCAGAGAGCGAGCACGGCCCAACCATGTGTTGAAGGACAACCTAGCAGCGTCTGATGGAAGGTTTTCATATCAGTTTCCGACGGGCAGTTGCTAACTAGCTCGGGAGGTGTTAACTTGGATTGACATTTAATTGGCTTACGGATTATGAAGAACAGTAGTATACATATATATTATGTGCTCACACGCCATTATTACACGGTAGTAACACAAAATTGGCTATCTGGCCCCATCTGCCCGAGATATGGCGCCCCGAACTTTTGAAGGGGCCAATAATTAAAGTACTGCAATGCCTATGCAATAGGCCTTGTTTAATACACAATAATCCCTACATACAAATACACTTTCTTGCTTAATTTATAGGTTCAATAATTAAAAGTTGACGTGGGCTCAGTTTGGGATCGGGGAGCCGTCTGGCTGGGTCAGCGTATTACGCATAACCGTCCTGGCCGACGCTGGGGCACGTCCCACTAGGTATAGTGCATTGAAGTACATACTTATAAGCCGTAGCCTGAAGGCCGACTCCCACAGGCAATACTCAAAGTATACACGACGAAACAGCCAACAGACGTACTGGTACGGCGACGTTCGGCCGCGCTGCATGTAGAGACAACGCTGGGCGTAGCGGGCCATGACACGAGGCCGATTCACCACATCGCCGTGCTGGTGGCTAATGGCGCGCACGGTGTTCAGGTTGCGGACCTAGGCACGACATAAACTGGTTAGAAATCACAGCTAAAGAGCTTCTTTTCAAGAAGAAACATACAACAAACAGCATGCTGCGCGGCATTTCCTTCAGAGTGCCCATTATTGATTCGAAATTCTTCCGGGCCACCTCCTGCATGTGCTGGATGTCCTCCTCCGACAATTTGCTTCGGATTCTGCCACCGCGGATGCGAATGGGCTGCTGGAAGAGCACCTCGGCGAAGCGCATGTAGTCAGCGATGCCAATCTTCTCGGCGGCAGCTTGCATCTTCGATTCGTTGCGCAACACGGTGGCCTCCCAGAACTCGCAGAGCGGGCCACGCACCTCGACCGGCAGCTCCTCGTACAGGCCATGGTCCAGCAGAATAATGTCGGCTCTCCCACTGCTTTCATTTCTACGCACAAAAACTATGAGGGAGGGTGGATAGAATTAGCACTGACTGTTGCCTGGAGCCTGCCCTGTTACCCACTGTTGCCGGGATGCGGATCGGCGTGCACAAAGCCGGTGTAGAAGATTTGCTCGGCAAACGTGTTGAAGAGCTTCACATCGATGTCCTGCACGCTAAGCTTTCGGGCCGCTATTGCCTCAAGGTCGCTGATCTTGCAACCATCCATCCATTCAAGGGTGAGAACGCGCTGAATGACAAAACTTTAGTCGAAGCATTCCGGACAGGATAAATAGCGAGCTCACCGTCTTGGTGTACGGCCAGTAAACTTTTGGCACATGAACAAAGTTGAACTTCTTCATATCGAAGGCACAGCGCTCGGCATTCCGGCCCTCCTGCACAAAATTCATCTCCTGGACCAGATTCTTGCGCACATCCCTCAAAATCCAGCCGAAGTTGTAGTCCTTGAAGAAGAACTCGACGATGTCCTGCAGGAACATGATGGTACCCAGGTCGCTGATGAAGCGCTTCTGCAGATCGCTGTACTGCACCTTAACGGCCACGTGCTCGCCACTCGGCAGCTTCGCCTGGAACACTTGGGCCAGGCTGGCTGCTGCTACCGGGTTGTAGTTGAATTCCTCATAGATTTGCTCGGGCAGCTGGCCAAAGTCCTTGTGGAACACCTTGCGCACATCGGCTTTTGTCGTCGGGATACATCTGTCCTGCAGCCTTGACAGTGTGCTGGTGTACTCGATCGGCAGTATGTGATTGATGGCCGCAACGCCCTGGCCCACCTTTATATAGAGGCCGCCATTGAGGAGACACGTCTCCAGCAGGCGCTCGGCACTCTTTTGGTGCAGCGCCTTCAGCCTGGTCTCGTATTCGGCAACGTTCTCGTCCAGCCACATATAGTCCGCAGCAATTAGTCCGGCTGTTTTGAGAGAGCGCACAAAGCGCACCGACGCCCCGCAGTACGTAAAGTCGTTGACAATTCCATCATAGCCAATGGCGCCGACACCGGCCAGGACCAGGCCCACTCGTCCAATGGGAAATGATCTCTTCTCACTGTTCTGGGGAACCTGACTTTGTCTCCCAAATCTTCTAATACGAATCCTGCTGCCCAATTGTAGGAGTTGCTTCAGTCGCTAGTGGTCGACAAAATGGGAAGGATCAGAAGCGTTCCCGGCCCTTTTTTATAAAAAGTACTCACATGAGTTCTTTGCATGTTTTTTCCAAAGCGTTCAAAGCGCAAAGGTTTCGTGCCCGTGGACACCTGTTATTGTTGTTGCAGAACAGCTGTAAATGATTCGACGGTCCGGCAACATTTTCCAGTTTCAGTTCAGTCACTAGCCAGTTCACACAACAAACACGCCGCACACGAATTTGCTATGGACGGTACCAGATCTTCGGTTCTGGCGGTTGGCCCCCGCTGCGTCATCATGAGCCAGCCCAGGCTGAATTTACTAAAACGGTGACGTCGTCCGCTGTGGTGAGTGAATTTATTTAGCTTCGAAATTAATATTGATAATTTAAATGGTGAACAACATTTTCCAGGTCAGCTTGTACATATATAATATTTGTTTTATGAGGGAAGAGTATATTTACTCCATCTATTAATAATATAAAACTAATATCTATTAACAGACACAGATATGGAAAAGTCCATCCCTATGCGCAGGTGTCATCCCTGGACTTACACAGGCCCCAACAGAGCAACGGCGACTGAAACCTTCAATAGAAAAAGTAACGGTAAGTACAGCCAATGCAAAGCGGACAGAGAGACCGCCGCAAAGTGGGTGAAAGAAGAAGAGAACCCCATATTCAAAATGTTAACAAAGACAGTCGATGGGGACACTGGGAATCGGTGTTTTGCGCCGTTCAGGATAAGTTAAAAATCAGGACAATTTTCCTGATACGGGTGCACCGCCGAGGACGCAGCAAGGGTCTTAGATCCGTCCTGAGCGCCGGCGAGTAGCATACAGCGACCAGCTGTTGAGTTTTGTGGGCAAGAAGCCAGTCCATGGATAAATTAGAATTCGATTTTGGATGTGTGTTATGTTCTGCAGCTTAACAAGTTCTTCCATTGTACTAATACTAGTTTTAATTGTTACATTTTCTATCTGCGATGCGTTTGAAACTTCTCCAGACATATGTTGGCCATATCCTGTACTGTGTATGGACGGCTAGGAGCTCGGAAGCAATTTATGGCGTTCTGCCTGCATATTTTTCATAAATTTAAAAATGCATATTTCGTTAAAATCCAATTGTCTTTTATTTTCTTTTCTTTCATTTTCAATTAGAATTATTCAAAGGGACTTTAATACAAATATTTGAAAGAGGCACTGCGGAACATGGCGTTCTTTTGAAGAAGAACCCTTCTTCTTGATCAAGACTTTTTATACCCTGTACTCAAAGAGTATAGCGATATACCCGATGCGTATAGATCAGTGGTTTCCCGGGCCTGTTGTCTATGTATGTACATATGCAGTTTTTCATAACATCTGTTTGATTCCTTTTCCTGCTCTACGCAGCTGCCTTAATCTACTTCAAAAACACTTAAATTTAGTTCTGATATTGCAACCCCAACGTGTCGTTGGGCCTACGAGGGGTTTAAGAATTATCAGAGGTTGGGATAGCTAAGGGATCGTCACGATTAACTTTCTTTGCTTTCGTGACATAGTTCGCAAGTTTCATAAGCCGGTCGTGGGCATATTGGAAAAACTTCTGCGAAGCCCGGTCGAAAACGGATTCATCAAAATCGCGATATTTTTTTCTAGATGCACCTGTAAAAGCAGGGAACAAGGGTAATTATTTAGCAATCACTTAACAATTAAAATGAACTCTCACTTCGAATAGCCAGTGTAATGGAGAGGGGTCTAATGCACTTCTTTGTCGTGGTTCCCCTCCAGCAATATTTCTCGGCCAGCTCGTCCACAAATATTTTACGCCAACACATTCGAATGTATTTCTCGTAGTCGCTGGCATTCAAATTTTCAAATTCCTTGACCTGGTGCACAAAATAGAATGTTTTGTAAAATCGAAAAGATATCAAAACCTTTCGTCTTACCATTCTTTTAAGAATTTCGTCGTCTTGAAGGCTTTTCTCCAATGCTTCAAGTTCGGATACTAGGGTAAATGGGTTCAGCGGTATTACTTTTGTGGGCCACTGACCACTGTCCGTACTGGCTGCTCCTATTGCGAGGGTACCATTCTGCAAAGCCTCCAGTTCATTGTCAATTTTGTCCAGCCTCGCGAAGATCTTCGCGTCCCTATCTTTTTGCCATTCCTCCATGGCTTTCTGTGTTTTTTGTATGCTTTTAAGACGGTCTAGCATCTCTGTGGAAGTGGAAATGTGAATGAATGAAGGGAAATAAAAATACAAAAATCTTACCCTTTAATACATTATTGTACAATATGTTGTTGAGCGAAAGCAACTGTCCCAAGCCTGAATCGAAATCAGTGGCACCTTCCGGCTCAGTATCTATAGGATTGTGAAGCTCTATTTCCGCACAATTCTCCTGCTTCAACACCCTTGTGGGCTTCGCCCGGTCGCTATTAGTTCGTTGTTTTTTCCCAGTCAAAACAACCTCAAAGTCTGAACTGGGACTATCCTCTAATGCGAAGCTACCGACATGTCTTTCGTCGTCGTTATTGTCCCAGTTTTGATACCCATTTGCGTGAATTCCATTTCCGCGGGGCGCATTAGTGCGGATTTTCCTTTTAGGCGGCATTTTGTTGATGCGCTAAATACAGAAGCATTAATAAAGGATCGCCAAGAACATTAATTGATCATTTACCAGAACGGAGAGCAGAGTTCTCTATGATATTGTTTTACGTGAGGGAGCGGTTAGGTCAGACAAAGAGCACCTAAAGCGAGCAATAATCGAGCCTTTTGCTTTCGCCTTCCGCTCGCTTGAGCGAATGTGCGCTAGTACGTCCTGAGGCAGCACCCACGAACAAACCAATGTTGTAGACCTTTTACCTGAGTGTACTATCCACTTATCTTATTCATATGACCATCTGCTGCCACTTATTCGTTGTATTTTAATAGTTTCTGTGGAAAGAGGGGGCGTGGCGTTTATCAACAAACCACTGTGTAGATGCAACAGCTGTTTTCTCATCGCTGTCAAATATCGATTGCTGCTGGCTGCTGAATATCGATTATTCGACCATCGCTATTCTGTATACGAACGCCGCCGCCGCCGCTTTGTTTGTTGCAGCGGTGCGTTTGAAGTTTTTTTTAGCGTGCAACAAATTGTTTACCTTAGCCAGTAGTGTACGCAGAGGAGGCGCAGTTCATTAGCTCGAGTCGCCATTAGTCTTCGCCCCAGTCAGAATGTCGGGAACTATACTCGAGAACTTGAGCGGACGGAAACTGTCCATATTGGTGGGCAGCCTGCTGCTGTGTCAAGTGCTGTGCTTCCTTCTGGGTGGGCTGTACGCGCCCGTGCCCGCCGGCCATACTAACGTGCTTGGCTCGCTGTGCAGGGAAAACCATGCGCGCCAGAACGACACCAGCTTCTTTTTGTACTCGCGTGGCGAAGGATCCTGCACCCAGGTTACCCGCGAGGAAGTGGAACAGGACTCGATGAAGCTGGCCAACCAGATTGTGCATGTCTTCCAGATGCCCCTTCCGCGCGACAGTCGTGTGCTGGACTACTCGCGCTGGCAACAGAACCTCATTGGCGTGCTGCAAGTGGAATTCGGATATGACTCCTCCTCGGAGCTGCGCGAACCCCCCAAGGAGCTACAGTTGACGATCGACATGCGCCTGGCCTACCGGAACAAGGGGGATCCCGACCACGCGTGGAAGCTGTACGCGCATGGCGTTGAACATCGTTATCTTGATTGCGTTGCCGCCCATATCGGAAGCTCGGAGACGCTCTACACCTGCGACATGATACCTCTTTTTGAGCTTGGGGCCCTTCATCACAGTTTCTATCTACTGAATCTACGCTTCCCGCTGGACACGCCCAAGCAAATGAACCTCCAGTTTGGGCACATGCACGACCTCACGCTGACTGCAATCCACCAGAACGGTGGCTTCACCCACGTCTGGCTCATGCTGAAAACCCTGCTCTTTCCCTTTGTGGTGGGCATCATGGTCTGGTTCTGGCGCAGGGTTCATCTGCTGCAGAGATCACCGGCCCTGCTGGAGTACATGCTCCTCTACCTCGGCGGAGCCCTGACGTTCCTCAATTTGCCCTTGGAGTACCTGTCGCTCACCATTGAGATGCCCTACATGCTTCTCTTGAGCGACATTCGCCAGGGCATCTTCTATGCCATGTTGCTCTCGTTCTGGCTGGTATTTGCTGGGGAACACATGCTGATCCAAGATTCCCACAACAAATCGACCATTCGGTCGCGCTACTGGAAGCATCTCTCCGCCGTCGTAGTCGGATGCATCTCTCTGTTTGTCTTCGACATTTCCGAACGAGGAGTGCAGTTGCGCAATCCATTTTACTCCATCTGGACGACCCCGCTGGGGGCCAAAGTGGCCATGAGCTTTATACTTCTGGCGGGAGTTTCGGCGGCCGTATACTTCCTGTTTCTCTGCTACATGATCTCGAAGGTCTTCAAGAACATTGGTGACAAGCGCACTTCGCTGCCGTCAATGTCACAGGCGCGTCGCCTGCACTATGAGGGTGAGTAACACTAATTTGGGAGACCTTATAGAAATAAAACCGACAAATATCCACCCAGGACTCATCTACCGCTTCAAATTCCTCATGCTGGCCACACTTCTCTGCGCCGCTCTAACCGTGACCGGCTTTATCATGGGCCAGATGGCCGAGGGCCAGTGGAAATGGAATGATGACGTTGAGATTCAGCTGACTTCGGCCTTCTTAACCGGCGTATACGGCATGTGGAACATCTACATTTTTGCCCTGCTCATCCTGTACGCTCCCAGCCACAAACAGTGGCCCACAATGCACCACAGTGACGAGACCACGCAGTCGAATGAAAATATCGTGGCCTCAGCGGCCAGCGAGGAAATCGAGTTCAGCAACCTGCCCTCCGACTCCAACCCCAGTGAGATATCCTCCCTCACCTCCTTCACCCGCAAGGTGGCCTTTGAATAGGGGGTCGCAGCCGCGGAGGAGAATTTTCATTCAGTTGTGGGCCAAACTAGGATTACAACTTGGCTTTGGCCCGCAGCTGTAGCGCTCAAAGTGTGTGTAACGCTCAGTTTATTAGCAGTAGAGTGTAGCATTTCTTGCCTAGTTTCGCACTTAACAATCTGATCAGCATTATTAATTATCTTTATTATTATCATTACCAGATAGATTTCGGTAGATTTTCTCAGCATGCTCTAAGTGTTTTCCCTTCGATACATGTATTCTCTTTATGTTTGCCTCGGCAGTCAGTATTATCTTTTGAGTCCAATTTAATAGCCTGTAAGATTTTATATACATATGTATTTATCAAGTAATATTTAGGGGCATACGCCCCAATTTAATATTTATATATTTACCAAACCTATGCGTAGAATTCTTCCCCATTTTTTGTAACTGAAAACGTAGAGCAATTTCTTACTCAAGTAGCGATGCAACGAATAAAAAGCAATATTTAAAATGGCAAGGAGCTGCATTTTCATGCCGCGTATCAGAAAACTAACGCAGAAGTTTGATAAATGCTTAAACCATATGCAATATTGCAGCTGTGAATCTGTCTGCTCGCCATTGCGATTTCGAAATTTCGGGAATGGTATAGAATATGTGAATGGTGAATCGGGGTCTGAGGTTGGGTCTGGGTTTACCAAATGATTCTCTGCGGGGTGCTGTAGTCCTGCCAGTAGAACTCTTTGGTGAAGTACACATAGAATGTGGCTACATTCAGGAGCAGATGGGCGCCCAACTCCAGCCACTCGGAGTAGCCCTTGCGTGTGTGCCGCGTGTTTAGCCGGAAAAGGATGTAGGGCACCAGAAAATATCGTAGCTCGAGGAGCCGCTGGAAGCACAGAACCAGCACGAGGCTGAGGGGAAACATCAGCTTAAAGCTGTCGGGCATGTGACGCAGCCCGCAGTAGAGCACTGTCATGGCGAACAGATAGGCAGGCGCCATGGCATAGCGAAACCACCAGAACCGACCATACAGGCGGCTCCACACATAGAAAGTGTAGTGACGGTTATCGGCCAACAGATATGGATGCACAACCGTGTTTAGGTGGATTACCGTAAGTATTGAGACCACAGCCAGAAGGGCGAGGATTCTATTGCGGCGAAGCATCTCCACCGCGGGACGAAGCTGGCGTAATGTGTTAGATACGGCAAAGACAGCAGTAAATATGGCAAAATAGAAGATTTGCGGCAGATTTAGGGAGGCTTCGTGGGCGCTCTTGTCACCCACTACAATTGAACCGTTGATGCACAGGAATCCAACGAAGGGCAGTATGACGGATATGTAAAAGCAGCACTTGGCCAAAATGCTCAATATACAGCTAAACAGCAATTGGGGAGTGCCCAACAGCTGCAGCCACATCTGGAAGGGAAGGGATCACTTAGTAAACGAAAATATGTATTCTGTGCTACTTACATCTGCTCCTAGGAGTCTGATATGTCCTCTGGGCACTGCACGCCTCTGGGCGCACTGCTGGACGAGCGTGTCCAGCACAGTGATTCCGGTGACCATGCAAACCCACACGATGTTCGTTTGGCGCATTAGGACACTGGCAGCTCCAAAGACAGCCGCGGGCAAGTGTGCCTCATGCTGCCAGAAGTGGTAGAACATAAGCACCATTGTCAGCGACAGGGTGTCCGTGTAATACAGGTGACTGAAAAAGTATAGTGGCGGCAAGACCGATAGGGTTATTGCCTCGTGCGCCGCATAGGAATTGCCGCCTGTGCCGGCCAACGTTCGACGTCGGATCCTGTATAGCAGCATTATGTTGATGCCCGCGCCGATAAGACTCAGCAGGCGTAAGCCCGTCACTGTGCAGTAGTTGAATGGATTCAAGATGAGGGCAATGAGATATAGGCCGGGAAACGTTGTTATCTTCGGGTCCCACTGAAAATGAGAGTGAGTCAATGAGTGCGAGCGTGGCCGACTGGTTTCTGCCCAGTACTTACCACGTCAAACTGTTTTCGACAAAAAGCAAGGCCCTGTGGGATATGAAACTCCTCGTCGATGATGTAGTTTGAAGTACCGTTGACTCGCAGAAACAGAGGCAGCGAATACATCACAAAGCCAATGGGCAGGACCAGTTTCCAGGATCCACTCATGATTAGTCCTGCAGCCAGCGGAACTGGCTCCTTCGATTGAGTTTGTCTCCTAGTGGCTTTTGTTTAGTTATTTTTGACCCCACCGGCTGCTGTTCAGTGTGACCCGCGGATTTTTCCCTCAGAAATATACCAAAATATACCGTCTCTTATTAAATATGCACCGTAAATATACTGACGAATAGCTTGTAGCTTGTCAACCGGAGTACGGATGTATTGTATACCCTATTCCGTTAATTTAATATGAAGATACGGTTTAAAAACGTAAATATATAAATAAAGACCTTTTCTCAGATTGATATGAAATCCCAGAAAATAAAGAGAGCAAGTCCCTCCAAATTTTAGCGCCAAATAGATTTTGTTTGAAAGTGACTGAGCGAAAGGATTTATGTATATGAAATGCATTGGAATAAATGCTGCACGTATGTAAGTACGATTTGAGAACGAAAATGAAAAAAACCTGTATATGGAAGTTTCTAAATCTAAAAATTAAATTTAATAGATTGATGAAATTGATAATATATACCGTAACGGTCACAACGCCAAACCGGGAATGTTGCAGAATGGCATAACGCGGTTCCCGATCACGCAGAGCCATGCCACGCTCCGATCGGCTGCCATATAGCTGAGATATAGCGTGCAGAAAGGACAAATATTCGAATGATTTGCACATCCAAATCTTCGGAAGGCTATATCTCAGATATATGGCATTTTAAAATGTATCCACAATTATAAACTGATTCACTTACGCATCTCGAAGCTAAAGCCCAGCGTTTGATTCGGCGGCGTATGAATGGGGGGCTGCTGTCGGCGTGAACCAACGATTCCGCCGCCGATCACTGGTCCCTGTTGAAGCGGACGGGACGCCAGATTGTCGACTCAGTGACACAGCAGCGGTATTACGGAGCCAGGAGCACACCCCTTGGAACTCCCGAGAGGACGAGCAGCTACGGCGGAATCGCGCGCGGAGAAGGTACCGATGGTGAGCGTATTTGGTAATCGGTATCGCAGATACGATACGATACGGATATGATGAAGTCGATGAAATCGCTCAAATAGTCAGTTGGCAGGATCTGGACCTGTATTACTTCAAGCCCAGCTACATATACCACTTGAAGGAGTTGAAAAACCTTGCACGGCTAAGTATTACTATCTTCACAGCTGTTAGTCGTAATCTAAGCATGTCCAAATCTGGCTGTACTCCAAGTGGGGAACGTGATGGCCGAGGATTTAATTTATCAGGTATTCAAAGTGCTGCAGGAGACTCGAGACCCCCTCAACCGAAAGACCCTTCTGCTGATCCTGGCTCGGGGACAGCTTCACGAGGTAAATGGATGATTCGCAGAATAAGTTGACTTATAAAGCTAATAGTATTCCGGTTGGAACCTGCAAGACTTGGGCTTGGACCGTCAAGTTAGCTAATTTTGCCATTGCTGAACATTTTACAAACCTTTGATAAAGATTGAGGTGTTAAAGATCTCGGTGTTTACTTTACTCTGTTTATTCGGCGTAATAATTGAATAGACATATCGAACTTTAACATACAAGTACATACAAACATAATGTTAACAAACAGTACAACTTAATGACTACCAAAAAAAACTCCAGGCCCAGCAGCAACTGAACAGAGAACCATCTAATTTAAGTAAATATTAATTTAAGATGCGACAATAATATAATATGTAAGATTTGTATATTATGCTCGTAGGTTTATTCGCTTTTGTGTGTGTGTGGTGTGTGTGGCTGGAGCTCTCAGGTGGCGACTGGGCGACTGGGCGACTGGCTGGCTGGCTGGCTGGCTGTCTGGCTGGTCACAACAGAAACTCCACCTTCCGCTGTCGTTGCTACTTGTTCACACTCCGATATATCATTGGTGCCGAGCGATCGTTGGTCTTGGTGTGTCGCAGCTTGACTGTGGCAAACTGGGAGGCTCTGCAAAAGAGGAGGGCACTTGTCCAGTAGAGAGTGTGCCAGCGTGCACCCTTCAAGCGCGCCTCTACTTACGGGTCGGGTGGATGGAGGTGCAAGCTAATACGTGCGGGATGGGGCTAGCTGAGGATGGGTCGCACACCCGTTACAGGACTTTGTGTCTGGCTTTCAGTAATCTATTGAAAAGTTGCGGTACACACCGCGCCTGCTAGAAAGGCAAATGACATTCGCATTACTTTGATTACATGTACAGGGGCGGGGACGACAACAGGCTCGTGCAATAGAGTTGACCCCGGACTAACAGAGTGAAACATGATGCTTGGACGGGCTTAGATCTAAACGAAAACAAATTCAGTGATGTGGAGACGAGTGCGATTGTGTGGCAGGCGACCGAGAATGAATGCAGCCCCACGCTGTGGGGCGTTTTGCTGCACAGAAAGCGAAGAAAGTTTGCAATGAGGAGGCGGTACGGTACGGTGCCCATGTTAGCCATGAAGCTTCCTCCTTATGGACTGGTTCTTTAGATACAGCTTACAACTAAAATATGTATAATATTAATTATGTATGTACATAATAAAAAAAAAAAAACAAAAATTGCCTTGCCAGTGGAAGATTGTCTGGCATTAAAATATATCTAAGAATTATCTTCAAATTTAAACAGAATTGAAACAGAACAGATGCAGGAATAGGAGCACAACTGGAGATATGGGCTCTTTCATTCATTCCTCAGCGGTAATCTCGTATTCCTGGCCATCTTTCACGCTCTCTGCGCATTTTCTTATCCGGTAAGAAAACGGCGAAACTTCATTTTCTTGGCATGGCTCTGGTCCAGTCCAGTCCCGATCCTGACACTGTTCCTGGTTCCTGGACCAGTCTCACTTTAGCTTGGCACTCGCCGACTTCTGTCCGGTGATGCCGTGCTGCTCCTGGTCCCAGAAGTCGTACCACGGCCCGTAGCTCTTGTTGCCCGTCAGGGCCTTTGAGCTCCTCTCCAGCGTGGCACTGTTGTGGCTGTGGTTGTTGCTGCTGCTGCTGTTGATGTTGTTGTTGTTGCTGTGGCTGGCGGAGGAGGACTTGAGGAGTCGTGTGCGCGGCAGGATGGTGGCCGTGGGTGCACTTGCATTTGCTGCGGCATTGCGGGTCAAGGTGCTGTCCTGCTCCTTGGAGGAGGACTTCTTCAGCGTGTTGGTCGCTGTGGTGGAGGTGGAGGAGCGGAAGGTGTGGAACTCCATCTGCTGCTGCTGCTGATGGTGCTGGCGGCGCAGCTTGTCGTCCTTGCGCACCAGATGATCGTTGATGACGATGCAGTCGTAAGGATCAGAGCTGGTTGACTTCAGCTCGGCGTCAGACTCGTCGTCCTCGCTGGTGTAGTACTGCTTGAGGATGTCCTGGCGCTTCACCGTCTTCATGACCAGTCCGTGGCCGTGGCCGTGTCCATGTCCGTGTCCACCCTTGCTGGGGCCTCCGTCGTGCTGCATGTCGTCGAAGAAGTTGTTCACGTCGCTCAACTTGAGCGTTCCGTGTTCATCGCTCTCGCCCTCGTCGGTGGAGAGGGGGAACTGCTGTTGCTGGGAGGGCTTGGACCGGCTCAGGGTCTGCGTCTTGTGCTGCGGCGTCGAGGAGGACCCGGAGCCCTGCTTGTCCAACTTACGGTGTGGTTGTGCCTGCTGATGTTGCTGCATCTGGGACTGGGACTGGGACTGGCCACGGCGCATTGTGCTCAGCCGCTCGCTCTCCGTGGGCTCCTCGATGTCAATCTCAATGGTCTTCATGATCTTCATGCGCGACTTGGGGGTGTAGCTGCTCCTCTGCTGCAGCTGCTGCTGCTGTTGCTGTTGCTGTTGTTGTTGGTGGTGCTGCTGAGGGGGCTGACTCACGCCATAGATGTTCTCATCCTCATCCCCGTAGGCCTCCGTGCTGGTGAGGCTGTCCTTGCGTCCCCGCTTCTCCTGCGACGAGCTGGAGTTGTGCGACTTGGTCAGCGTTCCATTCCCATTACCATTGCCATTGCCACTGCCACTGCCGTTTCCATTCACGTTGCGATCCTCGTCCGAGCGGCGTTCCGCCTCTTCGCGGTCCCGCATCTCCTCGAGATTGGGTGCTGCCACCAAGTCCCGGTGCTGCCACAGCGACATCCCAGCCAGGATGTCCTCGCCACTACGTCCTCCTCCGAACTTCCAGAACGACTTGGTCCGCTTCAGGCCCGCACTGGAGGCCTGCAGGATCTCGTCATCCGAGGCAATCAGATCGTAGCGCATCTTGCCGGCTCCGACCCCGTTCTGGCGGCTCAGCCGGTGCATGCTCTTGTCGTCCATCTGGCTGTCCACGCTGTTGCGGAAGTTCCGGTTCAGGGTCCACGAGGCCACGTCCCGGGGCACCGTGTGCGTGTGCGAGTTGGTATCGGCTCGGCGCCTTTGGCACGTACGTCGTTTGTGGCGCGGATGTGGGGATGTGTCGTTTGGGTGGGCGTGTGGTCGTGTGGTCGTGTGGGTGCGTGGGGTTAACACAGGGGATGACAAGAAAGGATAAGGATGGCGATACATGAAATCAAAACAAGAGAGGTAAAGAAGCAAACGAAAAATAAATTAAATCGATCAAATCTAGCGCAAAAACTCAGGCATGGCATAATACGTTTATATGCATATGGGATGGAATCGAAGAATGGTTACGGATTAGTGACAACCAAGAAGAATGCCGGAATGCTGCGGGGCTTTTTGGAGAGCAAACAGGCGGAAAGATCTAGCTACCCTCTGTGGTGATGTGGGGCAAGATTCCTGCCTGCATTTGCTCTCCAAACTATATCGTTTCCACTTACCGAATGGGCACACGCTGCGTGGCGGTCTCCTCGTCCGAGTAGTCCACCTCCGGCTGCGGGGGCGGCTCATTGGCGAAGCCGCTGTCGTTGCTGCTGTGGAGCGAGGTCTTTGCCGCCACTCCAGACTTGCCCGATGGATGGCTCATGGAGCTCTGTGGGCAGAGGGGGAGAATATTAGCTAGAATCTTGGATCACAGGTATCCCCATCCCCATCCCCATCCGTACCTGGGCTCCGTTCAGGAGCTTCTGCTTGCGTCTCTCGACTGCGGCCGGAACTCCATTGGTGGCGCAGAAGCTCTGCGAGCTGTTCAGCATCCTCGAGGACTGGCTCTGCTGCCCGGTGGGCACTGGTGCCGGCAGTGTGGGCGGCGGGCCCGGACGTGGATTCGCCCCGGAGCCGGCGCGGTACTTCTTCTGCTGCTTGAGAGTGTCGCCGAACATGCGCGTGGGCGAGGACTCCTCGGCACTGTGGTTGCGTCTCCTCCTGTACGTGGCATCGTTGTCCATCAGCTCCAGCTGGGCCTCCGACATGTACTGCTGCTGCTTCTGGTCGTGATAACTGCGCAGGGCACCGCCACCGGTACTACCACCGGCACCGGCACCGCCACCGCCACCTACACCTCCACCGGCTCCGGCCCCCATTCCGATCCCTGCTCCGTTGCGCTCGTAGCTCATGTGCATGTTCTCGTACCGCCTGCCGGTGGAGGGCACCACCTCGCCGGTATCAAGCGCGTTTGTGTAGGCCACCGGGAACCAGCCAAAGTGCTGGGTGCGGAGGTTCTCGCCGAACTGCCAGCCCTTGGCCTTGCCGCCCACCAATGCGATGCGGTCGCCCTCCTCGAAGGACAGCTGGTTCTCCCCGGAGGGCATGTAGGCGTAGAGGGCCTTGACCAGCGGACGCTGGTCCCCGCGCTGATCGTCGCTATGTGGCGCCAAGTGTTCCTCGATGATCTTGTGTTTGTTGCCTGCGCATCGAAGGGAGGAGAGGATCTTGTACTGGTCCAGCAGCTAGCAGCTAGCATCTAGCATTATCCACTTACCCGAGCCTAGGCCAGTGCCCACGAGGGCCAGATTGAAGTCGGACTTGGCGCGTGGCAGCGAGTTCTGGGCATAGTGCGATGACCCCACTCCGCCGATGTTCTCACGCTCGTGCAGGGTGCGCATATCCCCGTAGGGGGCGTCGATGCTCCGCGACTTTTTCAGCTGGGTGTGGACCTGGTCGTCGTCTCCGTCTTTGATGCGCTCCTGGGGAATGGTTAACAGAGTTGTTAGCGCCCAATCGGTTGGGGCATGGAGCATCGAGCATTACTCACCAGGCGTCTCATGTTCGTGTTGTTGTTGTTGTTGTTGTTGCTGCTGCTGCTGTAGCCGCTCTCGTACGCGGACGGCGGAATGATCTCACGAGAAGCGGCAATTTCTTGCCAATTTTCGAAATTATTATCAATTACCGTCTTCCCGGTGGTGTGATAGGCCATCCAGTGCTTGGCGATCGAGCACTGGCGCTCCAAGACGAACCCATAGCGACGTCGCTCCTGTGTCATGGCCTGAACGGAAGTGGCAACGCAAGCAACGAAAGGGAATCAATCGTGAGGAGGAGGAACCACACACGCACACGCACATGCACACAGTGCACAATGCAACGATTCGGCCAGAGCCAATGAACTTACATTCTTGTAGCTCTGATCGCAGAACACATCCAGCTTCTTCTTTTGGTCCTCCAGCACCTGCAGGCTCTGTGGGGAAATCCATTTGATTAGCCCGATCTGTTCGATCTTTCGCTCGGACCACTCACCCTCAGCTCCTTCTCGGTGTTCTCGGGCGTGGCCTTCTTCTTGCGCTGCTTCTTCATGGTGGAGACGGCCTTCTGGTAGCTGTCCATGCGCACCTTGTGCTGCTGCATGAACTTCTTCTGCTCGTGCTGCACCACCTTTGTGTCCTTCTCCAGGTTTGTCTCCAATGGCAGCAATAGATCCACATAGAAGGCTTTCAGCTGTAAGTATTTTCGGGTGAGTGTTGCAGGGCCCAAGCTCTCCTCCAGTCCAATCGATTAGTACTCACAATATTCATCTGCTGCTCCTGTATGTCCTTGTTGACGTTCACAACGCTCATCAAAGCCGAACCTAAAGGTGAGAACAGAACGCATACATCACTCGCTGTACCCATTGGGGGATTTCGGTTTGCTGGCGTGGAGTGGAGTCTTACCAATATCGCCCGTTCCGCTCTGCTGGGCGTTCATTGCAATCTTGGCCAATGCTTCATTGAATAGACGCGAGGCGGTTGCGGCACCTGTTGCATGAAATGGCACGGAATGCATTGCAAATTAGTTAACTGTATAGTGCAGACAATGGGCCTCCCCATCTGTCCCCCCCCACCTCCCTTCGCTCCCCATCCGTCCTCTGTCCCCCGGTCGCTGGTGTGGTCAATTATGATGCGATGCGAGAGTATTACTTACCATGCAACGCCTTGAGGTAGCTCTTGCCCGCCGCGATCAGCTGCCTGGCACCCGGATTGAATCTGTCGAGTATGTTCTGCAATGGAATGGAAGAGATCGATATAGTCGTTAGTTCGGGTGCAATACAATACAAGCTTGTGCTTACTTATCGCACAGATAATTAAATGTAATTTATGAGCCAGGCCAGGCCAGCCCAGGCCAGACCAGCATTCCCCCCCAAACATTTCAATTTCATTATGTCTTGGGCTATGCTATACCGGGACCCAGGCAAATCTCTGGTAATGGCTTTCCACGCTGTGCCGCGGGTAGTAAAAGTCTGTTGTATAAGTTGATTTGAGACAATGTTGTGTTGTGGTCAGAGCCAGAGCCAGAGCCAGCGCCAGAGACATCGTTAGTTCCGTGTAACTCCGCCACGCGGTTGTTGCTCAAAAAAAAAAACACAGTCGCACTCGTAATGCTAATTGAACATTTAGCAATCTATCATCTACGACTATCAACAAGTATCTACGACTCTGGCGGTGAGTGTAAATGAAAGCGAGCTGTGGGCTAATGAATACCAATACAATCCAGCCATAATTAAGATTCCAACTGACCAAAACCCCTATAACCCCCCTATACTGGGGACACTGTACTCTCCGCATTCTCTCTCAACGTTCAGAATCCCATTTGGATCATCCATGTTATGCATTTCGATCTGCAATTTGGAAGTAGTCAAAATCGAGTTCCGCAAAAGATTTCCCACTTGGCGGAGTTTTTACCGAGTGCAGAGTCATGTTTGGACCAGTTGTGCGCCAATTATGAACTGGATTTCATTTCCAACTGGATTCCGGGTGTATTAAGCCCCCATTAGCTTATCGCATAGTCGAGTTGCAACGTAACAATATGTAAGACGTGATCCCTAACCAGATTCTGTACCGGTTTATGCTTCATTCAATTTACATTCGGTGGTGCTTTAGACAGCCATCTTTTATGGATACCAGACTAGATAATATTGAGAGTTTATTATCAAACCAACTAAATAACATCCAGTTGAGTTCCAATGGTGTTTTCAGACTCTTTTTAGAAGTCAAACCATCCCAGAAACATTCAATTAAAGATTAAATGTCGAATCATTCAACATAAATCAAAATTCAAGATTTCCAATGTAATCAATCATTCCACTACCTCCCCCATAGCCAATGGGAACCAATGGGAATAGAATTTATAATTCCTTTGTGGGAAATACTTAAGCCGCAGAATCATAAATCTATACTGGACAATGAATCATTCGATCATCAGTAATCGGAAAATGCAAAAATAATAAACAGCTAAGCGACAATTAATTAACAACTTTACAGATGAGAAAAGATTTGCATACAATGCGAGATCGAGATGCGGACTGGGACGGGGACTGGCAGGGGGACTGGCAATGGGTCTGGGACTGGGACTGGGAGTGGGAGAGTTGAAAGGTGCATCTGGGATGACGTGAACCGTTTGTCATGTGTGATGTGACATCATCGTAGAGCGAGTGCTGACACCATTAAGCGCCGTGACAATGAGCCACATTGGTCCTGGGCTTGGCCCCACAGTAAACACCACCCGTGGAAGTGGAAGACAATGTCGAGCTCTTAGCACGCAAAGCCATACCCGAAAAACAAAACCAAAGTGGTCTCTGGCGACAAAGTGTTTTCATTGTCTGTGTCTCGGAACAAAGAGGCAGCTTTCGAAAAGGCAATCTTTAAACAGCGAGTTAGATACTCGCATAATTGATGGTTGGATTGTGTTCTTGTGATCACTGAGAAATTCTTTGGTGGTCAATCATTTCCGGCTGCCTGCCCAAAGCACTCACTTGGGCCGAGTGCGATTGGTCAGTGGCCGCCAGAAAACAATTAGCAGCAAAATGTCAAAAATAACAAAGTGCCAACAATAGATGTCCCTCTCTAGCTCTGGAACAGTTCGATCCGCTTGTGCTGGGGACATGACGCCCCGCCCAGAGAGAGGTATTTGCCCCAGCAATTTATTAGCCGCAAATGTGGCATCAAGGCGTGGGAATGAATCGAGTCGACACGAGTCTGAAAAAGTCAGTTATTCAGATAGTTGAAAACTCAAAGACTCGAATACTCGAATACTCGTCGCCGAAGGTCGTCGCTGTTTAACGATTCAACTTGCCCGAGTTTGAGTGTTTGCTTTTATGATCTACTAGCCGGCTGATTTATCTTTATCTTCCACTCAAAGACACAGACACAGATACAGATACAAAGCTGCACAGTTTGCATTCCCCGAACGCGATGTGTGTGCCCTTCTCAAGTGCACTCGTGCCGATTGACCTCACTGCAATTACATTTAATATAGATACAGATACTCGCACACTCGTGCCTTAATCACTTCGAAGATACAGATGAACATATGTACATGGCCGCAGACCTCTGGGGGGATCAGCAGTTATGGGTTTATCAATGTTAATTGTTTGCTTCGCTGGGGCCCAACTCATTTGCGGTTGCTGCAATCAACGTTTGGGTCACTGGAGCTATCAAAACACCCAACGACTGTGATCCACCACGGGATCTGTGAATTGATTATACCCTTGATATAATGATATAGCAATGAAAACACTAAACACTCTAAGACTCTGAACAAATATTGTTGAGCAAACGTTTAGGGGCTCATTTGGAGTTGATATCTCAAGAGGTTGGCTATATATATTGATTTGTACACATTTGACTATACGGAACTGATGGTTCACAGACTGATGCCTTATGGCACCCCCTGCCAGCGTTCCTCTGTCCACAGCGTGTCCTCCTACGGACCGTGTGCCCGTTCCTTTCCCTTCCTCTGTGATCTTATCTGGTCGTGTAATTGCCTTAACTGTTTAACAAATTCCCGGTCGTTCGATTCGGCAATTAACCAGATAGTCGTATCCCCCACTGGATAGCCACCCACTCCCCCAATCTGCGGGGCAATTAGAAATGCGGCTTGCTGACGCAACCGCTTATCACGCCCGCAAATCTCCACAGCAACAGCCGCACTTAACCCAAAATTAATTGAGGTAGTCTTGCCCATTTCCCATTACCCATTGCCTCCGCCCAGCGGCCAGATCCCAGCCAGGCCAGGTCTGAATCTAAGCCAAGACCCGACCCAAGAGTGGGGTGGCTTTGCCTCTAATCGTCGCTTAACATAAATCGCCAGCCAGCGAGCGCCACATATGTAATTTTTTTAATTAAAACAGAGCCACTAACCCACCCTCTCTCTCTCTCTCTCTCTCTCTCTCTCTGCCCCCCGCTTAGGCAGGCAACGAGGCGGAATTGTGGAAGGGTAGGAAGGGTACGAGCGGTACGAGGCGAAGGAGAGCCACATTCAGGTTAGGCCATAATTCAGCGACGCCGGCTAGCGACACACCCACCTCCGAGGCATGCGAGAATGCAGCCACAAAGCAACATCACCAACAACAGCAGAGGAAGACTCTTTCGGCAGTGACCGAGGCGTTGGATACCCTTACAACTATGTACACACATATATGATATATCGCACGAAATAAATAGTAATAAAAGTAGAAGACACTCAGGGTTTGGTTAGCATCGAAATGTTTAAGAAAAGAAATACAATTTTACATCGAAAAAAACACCTATTTGTTTTATTACTAGAGAGTCAACTCTTGGAGAAATTCAAATGGGAAGAAACCTGAGAGGCGGTGCCAAAGTGATCGAAGGAACTGAATACCTAGTATATTCGGCACTCCAATACGTATGCGATCAAGAATAGTAAATATTTGATGTGGAATGTGCTTCCCTTGCCGCATTGGAGGCAAACATGTGGCACGAGTCGCAAATACCCTCCAAAAAGGGTAGGCCAACGAGCAACAACCGTAAGCCGCAATTATGCCAATTAGAAAACAACAAATGCAAAAAGCAACACGCAACAGGTATTCCAACAACAGCAACAACAACAACAACAAAAAACAACAAACGCGAAAAATTCCAACAACAACAACAACAAAAAGGCCAACTGTTGACAAAACTTCAACTTGGAAGGCGTCAGGCCGCAACCAGTCACGCCCACACAGCTAGTGGCAGAGAGGAGTGGCACTGTGGTGGCACTCAGCCGAGGAGTGGCTGCGGCTGCGGCTGTGGCTAACCCTCTCCGTGCCACAGATCCCCCCTCCCGTCTCCCCCCTCCGGCACTGCGGGCAAAACTCCTCTCCTCGCTCCACAGATAATGAGCGCCAAGTGCGTGAAAAATGCTAAACGCAACGTAATTCTCGGTTGCGTGACTTTTTCCCAGGCCTTGGGGAAAAGCAGCAATAAAATTATATTTCTGCCAGGGACCAGATGTCCCTGGGGGATTAAAACGGAACGCAAGGGGCAGGATCCCACACGGGGTCCCATGAAATCCTAGGGCAGAGCCCAAAGGAAAGAAATCTTATAACCGAGTTTTAATTTAATTTTAATCTCGAAACTTCCCTAGCCCATCCTCCTGTCGGCTGGGGTATAAGCAAAACGATCCAAAGTATGATTGGTAGGGCTTCTCTCGGCCGAGTCGGACGTTAACCCAGTTCCATTTGCCATGGTCATACCCATCCCGGCGCCGGTGCCGATGCCGGTTGCGGTGCCGGTGACTAGGCCCATGCTCATATCCGAGCTCTCTTAGCCATTTACATTCCCATTCCCATTCTTCTGGAGGGGCCCAACGGCCACGCCAGCCCAGGCGATGTGACATCGTTCCAAGCGGCGGCCTCTCTAATGCAGCAGCAGCAGCAGCCTTAGAAATGCCTCAGACATGGCAATCATGGGTACTGTCCGCTGTCGGCTGTCCAGTGCCTGTTCCCAGCTCCAGTCCCCAGTCCCCAGACCCAAATACCCTGGCATTAGGCACCGTCGCGTCGTTGTCGCTGTCGTCGTCGTCAGTGGCTGCAATTTTAATTTATTTTCATTGCCTGTCCCTCTCGTTCACTGGTTGATTTTTTGTTGCAGTTTCAGCACACTACGGACACCTCCGTCCCATCCCACAGAGTGCCCGGGTGCCGGGTGTTGGGTGCCGGGTGCCTGCTCTTGCGGGGCTTCGCCTCCTTCAGCGCCTTCGGGCAGGTTGGCCTTTGTGTGGTCACCCGAACGTCACTCCGATCTGATCACTGGCGGCAGGCTGCTCCCGGCTTTAGGCCCCAGGCCCCAGGCCTTAGCTTCAGCTTCAGCTTCAGCTTCGATTTATGTGCCGGAGAATGTGCCATAAATCTAAGCGAATGACAAACAATTCGGAGTCATTCATCGCCACCGCATGGCTTGGCATGGCATGGCTTGGCATGGCAGCTGTTTGAATGAAATGCGTTTCTGAACATCGACTTGACGGCACAGCCTGGCTGCGGTTTTGCACCACTCAAAAAAAGATATTCACTCAGTAGAAGACAGTCATACTCTTGCGGGAGACACTCATATGTCTTAATATTTATTTCTCTAATTAATTTCTATGCAAGTTTCCATAGAATGTATGTCCCACCAGATCTCGGATCCCTCTCCTCCCTGAAGCTTGTAGGACGTTAAATGTAAAAATGGAAAGTGAAAGCGAATATTGTTATAAAATCAAGGGTACCGTACTGTACTGTACATCTCTCCACATAATTTACTTGTTGGCAACTGGAGATTTATGTTTAAGCGGAGTGAAAGATTTATGAGCGTACAATTTTCGTAAATTGCAATAAATCTTTCGGTAAAATTATGAAAAGGTAAAATGGGATTTATATAATTTATTTATAAGTTATATTTGATCAAAAAAAACTGTGTTGTTTATGGCAAACGAGGCTCTCGTTCCCCTTTGTAGAACGCTGGAGCCCAGATCCAGATAACACCGAATCCAATTAATTAGCTAAATCTCGGAAATTTCGCAGACTCATTGGCAGGCCCGCACTCCTCCGAGGAACACCCTGAGTGTACCCTGCAGCCGTTGAGTGTGCGAATTTTTAGAAAGGCCACCGGCCACCGCTCGACTGCAAATAAAGATATGCCAGAAAACGGACCGCACATGGGCTTAGAATGGAATAGAAAATAAACAAGCGAACCGAACGAGATATCGCATTAATTAAAACCCGTTTAAGAGCGGCGAGGGGCCGAACCCAGAAATGAATTCACAGACACAGTTCCCATACCGAAAGACGCAAATGGCAGACAATCTATTGAGCCGCGAGAGAAGGCAAACTAAGTATAAGATAATACCATAGGTAATATATGAAAAACCATAGCCATATAATGCCATAATAGATCGATGGTCGGATGGACGGATGGACCGACGGCAGACAATTGCGAATAAATCACTTCGAATTAAGTCATAATCATGTAGATGTTAGAGGAAGTCACTTCCCTGCTGTTGGCTGGGATGTTGATTGATGCTCTCGCGGCAATTCAGATTCAGATTCCGATTTTTCCCGGCAAGTCGCGGGCAAGTTCGTTTCCTGAGTCTTTCGTTTGTCGAGTGGCGCAACGGCAACCCACTAATTAAATGAGTCCGCAGCCACAGTCCACATATTTATTCGATTTTCTTCGCCTGCGACTGTCACAAATAAACAATAACAGTGTTGAAAAAAATTAAACAAAAAAAAGCACCAGCGCGCAGTGCAAAAAATGCAAATGGCGGCCGAGAAAATGCAGCCATGTGCAACGTGCGACGAACGACGTGCGACGTGCAACGCGGCAGGGAAGCAACCCGAAAACAAAATTTCCGCAATTTTCCAGCTGCCTGGCAAACAGCAAGACCGCAAAGCCGCGGCGGCGGCGGCAACAGCAAGTTTTCCAAAGAAAAACTGCAAGTTACATAATGAAATGGATGCGAAAAATGTGCAATGCCTCTGCCACAGCGTGGCCCCGGTGCCGTGCCCCAGGCAGATGCAACTGCAACACGGCACACAAAAAGAAGCCGAAACTTGCCAAACTCCCAAGGCGGAGTCGATGGCTTCCCCTCTCCTATTTCTCTCTCCCTGCCTCTCTCTCTCACTGCCGCTGTCGTCACTCGAGTCGGGGGGCCGATGGGGTCGCAGTCAAACAAACAAACAAACAAATCAAATCAAATCAAATCTCCAATTGAACTTGTTTGTTCGGATCGGTTCGGATTGGATCGGATTGGTTACGATACGTATCATATGGCCAGAAAAGTATGCCAAAAAACTAAACAACACAGCCGCCTTGTGTCGTGACCAAATTTGGATACTTACACAGCAGCCACCAGCCAACAGGCCCACAAGAAATTCACTTTCAAATGTCTTTTAGCCTTTTTAAATCTCAAGACATTTTCGGGTTTCTTGTTAATATTTATATGGATTTTTTTGGCTTGAGGGTATTTTGAATTTCAGATTTTGTTTGCTACCAACTAAAGGCACGCCATTCCAATGGCCTTTTGACTGTGTTATGGCGTCAGGAGAGGGCTACAAATTCTTGAGGATAATATATATCATATATATAATATAAGAATATACAAATGTAAAGTTAGAAAATAAAAGACACAGTGAAAAACCATTTGCTGGGTTTGGCCATGTTTCTTCTCCATCGAATCAATCGAAGGCGTTCAAATACGTTTCCTTAAGATTTTCACAATATTCGCTGTATTTTATTTAAATGCAAAACCATTAAAGTCGTGGCACTATAGCACTTCGGTGGGGTGTACTACTCCCCCATGCCGAGGTCGTAAAAGTCCAAAACATAAGAGTACATAAACATAGGTCGAAGGCAATTAAAATCGATGACCTCCATCACCAGGGCAGCGATTTCTTTGTGAACTTTTAGGGGTATGATGATATGATGGTATGCCATTTTTGTAGATTATCTTTTTTGTGGCTTTCGTTTTGGGGCGATCGCGTGTGGCGATTAAATTAGCTTACAAAGAAAACGTTTATCGTTATAAATTGTTTTCCGAAAGGGTAAACATCGTTATGAGCGTAACAGTAAATTGGTGGCAAATGGCTAATTGAAATGGCCTTCATGCAACAGCACCGTTAGACCGTTTAGCTGTCTGTCAGCGGGGTTATATAAGACGTTTTTAGCCCAACCTTCGAGCTCCCCGAACTAATGACAGCCCAAGGAAAGAGCTGGAATTCTGACAATTTACAGTAGCGACAGATCTTTGGGGAGGTTGCGGAATCTGTCCGACTCCCCTCTCTCTTTGTCTCTCACAGAGTGGCTTAGCAGCAAGGGGTCTCTCTCTCTCTCCCTCTCTCTCTAGTACCCTTTATGTGTCTGATCTCTGGAAAAAAAAAGCACAGAAAATCAAGCTTACCCTATAAACGCCATCCACCAGTTTTGTAACTTCTTCGGCCTCCATTGTGGCTGGTCTCCAATGCCGGTTCGGTTCCTATCGATCAATGAACGAGACGCGAAGTGCTTGTGGCAGTGGCAGTGTGGCTCCAAGTAGCTAAATAACTCGGCTACTGATGGATCGAGCCGAAGGTGGCGGCAACAACAAAAAAAAAACAACAAAACAACAAAAAAAACAAAGGCCCGAAAATCACTTGCAGCTTGAATTCACTTTCAACTGCAGCGCCCGAATGGTAGGAGCCACGGATTCCGATTCGGATTCAGACTCAGTTTCGGACACGGGCTGCACTCGATTTTCACTTTCTAAATGTGGCACAGACGGAGCAGCGGCGGAGTCGACCCAAAAGTGGAAAGACGTTGAACCGGGCCAACTCAAACTCGAACTCAAACTCAAACTCGAATTTGGAGTAAACTTGTAACTTTGACTTTCGTTGCAGAATCTTGGAAATCTCGTTTCTGCCGCAGACTGGCGGGTACTGTCGTGACTTTCTTTTTGGCGGGTAGACCCAAAGCTCGGATCGAGACCACGTAACGCCGCGCACCAGGTAAATGAAATGCCAGCACGCCGAGAGCGGGCCAACCGATTGAGCTGCTTGCAGTCGGCTTTCTGTCTCTGCTTCTGTCTCTGCTTCTGCTTCTGGCCAACTGTTGACTTCTGGAGCGGGTTTCCGGCGAGGTCTCCGAGTCGTGTTTCTTGGCCGCTTTTATGCGATGATGTTTGCACGGCCTGTTATCACCAATTTCCACCGGTGTTACACGTGATTCGGTTATTTGTGGATCTGAAAAGAGAGAATCAGAATGGTTACTTTACTTTATTGACGTGGAAAGCAACAGCCCAGAGAAATACCCCAATATTCGAGGGGTGCTGTTGCCCTTGGCAGCACACCCATTGTTTGGTCGATATTCGCTGGGGATTTTCTCGCTTAACTTGCGACTTTCCTGAACTGCACCAGAAATGAGTAAGCTGGACGATTTGTTGGCCAAGAAGAAGACGGTGGTGCCCGTCCTGGACCTGAGCCGCAGCAACATCCAGACGAGTGAGGAGTTCAAGCGGCTGTTCGAGAAGGTGCCCGACTACAAGATGCGTCCCGTGAAGGTGCGCGCCGAGGAGATCAAGCTCCGGGACAAGGACTACTCCTTCAAGATGCCCAAGAAGGAGATGCGCAAGCTGCTCAAGTCGAATGGGGAGCGGGAGCCGTTCTACAGCTACGCGGATCCCGTGCCCACCGAAATGAAGGACGTGGTGCTCATGGAGCTCTGTGCCGTGCCCATCGACTGGAAGATGCTCACCACGCTGCGGCCCAAGAACAAGCAGGAGGAGGAGTACTTCAGCCGCATGGTGGAGATGGGCAAGCTGGAGCTCAAGACCGAGGCCCGTGACCGCCGCGAGTTCGCTCTGAACAACTGCGTGAAGAAGATCAAGAACAAGTCGGGCATCGTGGAGACCCGCCTGATGACCTGCGAGTCCTGCGGCGAGGAAATGTGCTGCGGTCAGTTCCAGACTCTCTTGGGGCTGCTCCCTCCCTCCCTCTTTCTGGGCAATGATTACATATGCATCCCCTCTCTGTTTCCAGGCAAGTCATGTGGCGACTTCAACTACGATCTGTACATCAGAGTGGAGGCCAGGGTCGTGAAGCCGAAGCCCGTGCCCATGACCACGAACAAGACCAAATTGAATGGCCGCAAGAAGTCCTCGGTGGCAGGCACCAAAATCAAGGTCAAGAAGTCCTCCACCAACAAAGGAGCTTGGGGAAAACGATAGATCAATTTAGCTGAGTATTCTTTTCGCATTCACTTGCCCCTTGTAACCATTAAAAAGTCCTCAAATCTTGTACAAGTCTCTTCTTAGCCATGTTTCTATGGCCATCAGTAGGTATATCTCTGAAAGTATGTTAACCCAAGCCAATTACCATAAACCCTATGCTCGGACAGGTCTCCGAAAATGTGCCGCGCAAGAGAGTAGAAATTTTTGAAGATATTTTCCCCAACAAGCAGCGGCGACACTCGACTCGAGTGGCTCTGGCCCAGACCGACAACGAAATGGCTAAAATATTTAAATTGCCGCCGAGCAGCAGAGCAGCGGCAGAGGCAGCGGCAGAGGCAGCACAGGCAAATGGCCATTAAGACAAAGTAAACAGGCTAACAGGGGTTCTGTGTTCGTCCGGTGGTCCCCCACTTGGACTGGCCAGGTCGATGCGTTGGCGACATCGCTCCAGAGGCAGTCAGGCGGCAGTCAGGAGGCAGGAGGCAGGCAGCCAGCCCACGAATCGCTCCGGGACTTGTGCAACAATTTGTGCAAGTCGAGAATTCAATGGAGTGGCTCCGAGTGGCTCCGAGTGGCCGCCTGGCGTCTGTGGCGTCCGTGCACAACTTTTGATTACTAATGAGCCGAATCGCTGTAGAGCGGCTGTCAGTCGCGGTGTAGAGCTCTGATTTATGCGGTTTATTTATGGAAATATCTATTCGCGTAGAAATTGAAAATTTACTTTGAATATCAAGTTTACGAGCATATGGATGGATGGAGTATATGGCAAGACGCAGCCGTAGAGCGAAATTTCGATTGGAATCTCAATTTGATTTTAGATTTTTCGTGCAACCAAATATGCAAACAACTGAAGTTGTTTCAAGTTCTTTCCTTAGTAGAAAGTAGAAGACACTCGAAGCGAATCCATAAGAACGGATCCGATTCGATTGCTAGGATTCCCAGGAGCTTATGCAAAGATTCCACTGGATGGAACCCTGGGCTTACGTGTATTTATTACCAAAGTCGTGGAATAATTTACAATAATGGACGATAATTCAGTCATCAAGCAATGAGTGTTCTACAAGCCAGTCCACAATGTTTTGAATGTTGCTGCTTTCTGAAGATGGTGGGAGAGAATAAACTCCTAACAGGCAGTGCGATATATCTCATTGGATGAAATGAAATGTATCCTCAGATCAATGAAGAAGGTTCCCCTTTCCCTCCAATCGCAATATATGTACGATATGCACCTTTTAAAGCTATTATGAATATCACATAGTCATATCGTTTGTGTGTAGTTATGCTTAGGTTATGATATTCCATTGCATTCGGTTTGGCTAGGCTAAATTGTGTTGAGTTAAGCAATGTTGGCCGACATCAGCAGATGTTAGCCTTGTTCTTAATAGACAAGCGATGTTTTTGCATAGATTTTCCACAGCAGAGGCGCAATTAAAGTGCCGTCCACTCACGTAGACGTGTGTAGACGTGTGTAGACGTGGGGGTCCACACTGAGATATGATATCGGGTTTCGGACCTGACCGCAGCAGTGACGTTGCTAACCTTGGTAGCCGGTGGAACCTCAGGAATGCAGCAGCAGCACCAGCAGCAGCAGCAGCTGCAGGTTCGTTGCCCAAGTCTTTTGATTCTAAGCGAGGCTATGAGGCGAGGCTGTGAGGCTGTGAGGCTGTGAGTCGGGGCGTGGCCATGCCAGCCATCACGTAGCCAAAGAAACCTATCCACACAAATTGATAGAAACAGTAGGCAGGCGGTAGGCGCAACTTTCTTTCTTTTTTCCACTCTCACTTGGACGGGGGCTTATCTGGAGTGTGTTTATCTTGCATCTGCTTAATTTTTGAGATGCGACATCGACCATGATTTCGTAAGATTTGAATGCGTTCGTTTCGTCTTTCGTCTGTCGGGTATCATTTCATTTAGTTTCCATTCAGCTCTGTTTATGTTGGAAATTTCTTTTGGAAGACGCGTGTGCCTACGTAATCGTTGTGGCACGTCTCTGCCCCTCCCTTTCCCGCCAGGTGAAAGACCCTCCAGATCCGAAAGTCGCTTGGGGGCAGACAGTGCTGACATATTGGTTGTGGATCGTGGCTCCGCGAGGGTTCAATGGTAGCTGGCGCTGACACTGGTACTGGCACTGCCATAGAATTCCAGTTGAATGGTGTGACACTCTCGATTCCACAATTAAATTGGTAAAAGTCAACAATCTGGCCAGATCTGAGAGCGGAGATCGGAGACCGGAGTGAGTGGCAGATCTGAGGCCAACAATAGATGGAAAACAAAGAGGGGAAGTAAGCGGGGACTGTTTTCGAGGGGTGTCATTATTTTGATATTTTTTCATATTGAAAAGATCTGCAAACGTTTCTTGGGAGGGGTTTCCAAAAGAGCTACAGAAGCATGTCTCTCCGCGTCCCCCACTATTGCCCTCTCTGTTCATCATTTACAATATCTTTCCATGGGTATACCTCTCTCTCTCTCTCTGGTAATCCCCCAATTACTTTATTATCAACAATGCCCCATCGATCCATCCTCCATGGCCCATCCATCTATGGCGCATCCTCCCTTTTGGTGAATTGGTTTCGATCTTTTGGCGAAACTTTCGCCGAATGGCAGAGCAGAGACGAGCAGTCAACGACCATTTTCCTGCCACTCGAGATACATGCAAATAATCGGGTAAACAGCTTTTGCCAGCAGAGCAGAGCAGCATGTCCAACACCAGTTAAAGCTACATCTGTAAGATGGAGATGGAGATGGAGATGGAGCTGAAGATGGGCTGAAGATGGAGCTACAGATGGGGGAGAGGGAAGGAAGAGCCAAAGCCAGAGCCAGAGCTAGTACTATTATCAAATGCTCATCATTAACATTGGCTGCCTGCTGCTGTGGCGGCTGCAATCTCGACGTGACGATCAAATTGCAGCACATGTGAGTACACGTGTGCCGTGTGCCGTGTGTTCGAGTGTGCTGTGTGGGGCTGTTGTTGTGAAAATGAAATTAAACTAAATACCAAAGACAATGGAGCGGAGAGGAGATACAGATACTCGTACACATGTACGTCTTGTTTGTACTTGTAGTCGTATAGTCGTATCTTCGCGCTAAATTGCCGCCAGATACATTTTCAAATGAGTCTTAGACACAGTACAAAACACAATAACATTGTTGATATCCCCTGGATCCCCTGCCACCAACATCCAACATCCAACATCCGAAGGGGTTTACCATGCAAATTGAGGGACGATGCCTGCTGCTGCTGCTGCTGCTGCTTCTGCTGCTCGTTCACTCAAATTGGCAGTGAAAGTAAAAGTTTAAGTTATTTCTCTCCCTCTCTGTCTCTGTGTCTGTCTCTGTCTGTATCTCTGGGCTGTCGAACCTTAGCAAAGTCGAACGCACAAGTAATGCTGACGACTGACGACTGACTGACAGATGGACTGACAGACATCTCGACCGAGATCCGACATCCGACATGCCATATGCATGCCATAAAAAGATAAACCCCATAGCGGGAAGAGAGCCACATATTTGTGCCCTGAACCGAGGGTCTCGTAGGCCATGGCCTGGCCTCAGGTTCGTTCAATTGATTTTCCTTGCCATACCAAACTTTTCCCCAATGGGAAAAAAGCCGCTGATGGGTGGCAGATCTCCACAGTGCTGTTCCATTAACCCACTGTCGCTTCTCTCGAAGAACTGCTGCCCATCGGACACACCCAGCCACTCCCACTCCCTCCGCTCTGTCCCAGGCACAGTTGGTCGTGACGAGCCATGGGCATGGGCATCGGCATCGGCATCGGCATCTCCTGTTTATAGAAGCAGCTCTACCCATCATAAATTAGGTGTAGATGGCATCTAAAAGCATCGCCGACTGCCGACTGACGCGGCACGAACGTTTCTCTGGGAGCGTTAATGGCAGTGTCTTCTGACTCGGGATCGCCTCTATGAACAGGAACTGCGGATTCCGTTTGGATTGGTTGGGGGGCAGTGGGAGTGCCCCAAGAAATGGTGGAAAACAGTGGAAAATTCTTGGGATAATCTTCTGTTCTGTTCTGTTCTGTTCTTCACAATAAAGGAACATGGACATTCTTTCTAAGGAATTTTAAGCCCAAGGGAAACTCATTAAACAAGACGTTGCTTAACGGCAAAGATGTTATATATTAAGTTATATATTTAATATTCTGTATCTTGCTTTAATTGAGAATTTCTATTACAATCATTCCATCAATTCATCAAGAAATGCATACTTTTCTGTTGTCTGTCGGCTGTATCCGTTTCCTGAATAGGTATGGAGATATTAAAGATATTTCAAGCACCAAAATTAAGTTGGGTATTTCCAAAAATCTTCAGATACATCCCATCAGAGAGTTGATTGACTCAGTGGCACTTGTCAGTGGGGGGATACTCGTGGTACTCGTGTATCGGTAGCCGAAACCCAAAGCTCATTTGTCCGCCCCCACACCAATCATTCATTCCATCCACATGGAAGATACACAGAGAGATACAAAGATACACCTGGTAGAATCGAGTGAGATACGGACATGGAACAGTTGAAGAAATATCAAAGTAAAAACAAATTGCTGAGCGACTGCGTCAGGCGCAAGGAATGCGACCTTGAGCTGTCGTCGTCGTCGTCGTCGTCGGCCGCTTGTTCAGATGTCGTGACCAGGCCCGGGCCCGGGCCCAGACCCAGACTCACAGATACGAGGCGTAGCAGCACAAGTACAGAGAGCGCGAAAGAAATATCTGCCAGGCAGAGGCATAAATACGGCCAGAGAGATCAGAACCGAACCGAACAGCCCGCTTGGTACAGAGAAAACGAGACGCAGAAAATAGCGCAGTTTCGCGTACAATAAAACACGTTTGACGAACGGTTTGATGGTGAAGATGAAGATTGAATATCTGTCAGATACACACACACACACACATGGCACACACAGAAGACGGCGCTCACTTTTATTTTCAGCATTGCAACCACAGGAACGGCAACAGCAACAGCAACAACAACAACAACAGCAACAGCCACTGAGACCTCAACCACAAAAGCAAATGCCATAACAAGCCAAAATAACAAAGATCAAACTCCAGCTGAATGAGAACAAA